TCATTACCCACAGTCTTTGTGCATACCTCTGAGTCCTGTGGTGCCAGTGGTGTCTTCAATGCATTATTGTGGTTCTCTAAAATACTTATGGGATTCCTGAAATATATCATATGTTTTTTGCGACGCCGTCTCCGGTTGCGTCCACCTGTGAGGCTCTGAGAGGATGCCTGCTCGGTATTGATGACTCTCAGGCAGCGAGAAACAGAGGCTGACCCATCTTGGCCTTCGCTCACAGACAGGTCCGGGTTTGGAAATGAGGCACTGTTTGGAAATGAGGCACTGTTTGTAAGAAGGCTGGGATCAGGGAAAGCCGTGTTAGGTGCCACTGCAGAGCCAGGAAAGTGTGGGTAAGGTTGGCTGCTGGCAGAAAGAGAGGGAGGAGTGTTGTACTGATTGTATGACCAGTAAGGATTTGTAGCACCGCTGTAGTGGCCACTCTGGGTAAGAGCAAAATGCGAGTACTGAGACAAAATGTAGTCTGGATATGGAGAAGCAGCAGGAGGAGGAAACACGGGATTTTGTGAATATGGATAAGCAGGAAACTGTTTTGAGTCTTTTCGCTCTCTGTCCCTCGGTGTTTCTCTGCTGTTCCATTGATCTCTGTGTTTCAGTCTCTCTCTGCTTCTTTCTCGCGAGCGGCTTCGTTCGGCTTCCCGCCTCCGTTTCAAATCTCTGCTGCGAGAGCGTCGACGGCACGAGGGGCTCGGGCTTCTAGAGGCTGACCTGGAGGAAGATGAGGACGAGGAATTTCTGTGATCTCTAAGAGAGCGCCTCTGCTGCGTCTCGTCCTCCTCTCTGCTGTCAGTCCTCCTCCTCCCTTCACTCTTCCTCGCCCTCCCTTCGCTCTTGCTCCCATGCATTCTCTCCTGACTCTGGTCTGTTTTGCTGCTCCGCAGAGGAGAGCCTGATGAGGACTTCCTGCGATCTCGGTCACGAGACTGCTTCTGGCGCCTCTCGTGCTCCTCTTTGCTGTTCACGCGTTCATTTTTTCTCCCGCACAGCCTCTCCTGAGTGCGGTTTGCCAATTTGCTCAGCTCGTCCACGTCCAGGTTCCATCCCAGAGTTTTAAGAATGCTCTGCAGCTGTTCCTGCTGCTCACTCACCGATGAGGTTTCTTCCTCCTCCTTCTTCTTCTTCAGTGCCACCGGAGACTTTAATCGATTACTAGAGCCCAAACTGTGGTCTCTTTTGCTCTTCTTCTCCTCCTCCTCACCAGGTAAGAAGAGCCTCCCTCGAGTAGACGAGTCAGTCTTTTTCTCTCTACTGTTGGTCTTGTTGAGGCCTGCCAGCAGGTTTCTACCATT